ACCCACCCCCCCAAACCAGTTAACCAGAGAGCTGAGCCAGGCCTCCCTCAACACAAAGCAGACAGACGCTTTGGCCTCCGGGTGGGATAGTCCCGCTCGCTGCAAGGGTTCTTTGGCCCGACATGCTCTGCTTGTGGATCCCTCCTCCGCCCGGCGCCAGGAGGGAGCTAAGCCACCTTTGCACCTCCGACCATCATCCTGCCTGGGGACCTGCCCTAGGCTAGCCCCGCGCCCCTCGACCTCAACTTCAGGGAGCTAGGCCTGCGGGAATGTCTGGGCCTACAAAGGGCCTAACCCCTTCCTGAGCGCCCCAGGGCCTCACCTAAAGGCCCAGTCTCCGGGCTCCGTCCGTTCTGCGCAGGCCCTCGCTCCCCGGGGACGCAGCCACCAACCCCGGCCGGGGACAGTCTGAGTCAGGACTCCGGGCCCTCTCTGGCTCCTGGTAAGGAACACTTCCGCTATCTCAAAGTTGCCATAAGAAAATAAATACAAGTGACACTGTGCTGGGCCAAAGCTCATTAGTTCGTTGTCCAGGCCTAATAAAGAAACAGAGGCGCAAATTATAGAGTTCAGCTTCGACACACGCTCTGTCACCCGATATCAGCGGACGGCGAACCTGATTCCAATTGCTCCGAACTTGCTGCGTAGTTCGCCCCCCACCCCCTCCTCGCGAGCAGGAGGTTGGGTAGAAAAATATAGTTCCAAAGGGGGTAATGATCAAGCTTTTCCTCTCGGAAGCCTGCGCCACCTCATTTCCCATCAGTAATCCCAATAAAATTAACGTCGTGGCTGCAATTGAAAAGAGGAGGGCCCGCGACACTCCTGAAATAACACCCTCTCCCCCAGCAAAAGGTAAAAAGCAAAACGGCCCTTTGTTCAGCTAATTAACGAAGGCCCAACTCCGAAAGCAGATGTGTTTGCTTAGCTAATCACAAGCATGTTTCTTTCAAGGAACGTCATTTAGAGGGGGCTGCTCCGGGGGATGGGAAACGGGGACACAGCAACCCCCCTCGCCAGGCCCTCTCTGCCTCAGGGGTCTCTCACCCCAGACTAAGATCCACAGGCTAAATCCGGGTAGCCCATCTCTTACACCTCTCTCTCCCCACCCACCCCCCCAAACCAGTTAACCAGAGAGCTGAGCCAGGCCTCCCTCAACACAAAGCAGACAGACGCTTTGGCCTCCGGGTGGGATAGTCCCGCTCGCTGCAAGGGTTCTTTGGCCCGACATGCTCTGCTTGTGGATCCCTCCTCCGCCCGGCGCCAGGAGGGAGCTAAGCCACCTTTGCACCTCCGACCATCATCCTGCCTGGGGACCTGCCCTAGGCTAGCCCCGCGCCCCTCGACCTCAACTTCAGGGAGCTAGGCCTGCGGGAATGTCTGGGCCTACAAAGGGCCTAACCCCTTCCTGAGCGCCCCAGGGCCTCACCTAAAGGCCCAGTCTCCGGGCTCCGTCCGTTCTGCGCAGGCCCTCGCTCCCCGGGGACGCAGCCACCAACCCCGGCCGGGGACAGTCTGAGTCAGGACTCCGGGCCCTCTCTGGCTCCTGGTAAGGAACACTTCCGCTATCTCAAAGTTGCCATAAGAAAATAAATACAAGTGACACTGTGCTGGGCCAAAGCTCATTAGTTCGTTGTCCAGGCCTAATAAAGAAACAGAGGCGCAAATTATAGAGTTCAGCTTCGACACACGCTCTGTCACCCGATATCAGCGGACGGCGAACCTGATTCCAATTGCTCCGAACTTGCTGCGTAGTTCGCCCCCCACCCCCTCCTCGCGAGCAGGAGGTTGGGTAGAAAAATATAGTTCCAAAGGGGGTAATGATCAAGCTTTTCCTCTCGGAAGCCTGCGCCACCTCATTTCCCATCAGTAATCCCAATAAAATTAACGTCGTGGCTGCAATTGAAAAGAGGAGGGCCCGCGACACTCCTGAAATAACACCCTCTCCCCCAGCAAAAGGTAAAAAGCAAAACGGCCCTTTGTTCAGCTAATTAACGAAGGCCCAACTCCGAAAGCAGATGTGTTTGCTTAGCTAATCACAAGCATGTTTCTTTCAAGGAACGTCATTTAGAGGGGGCTGCTCCGGGGGATGGGAAACGGGGACACAGCAACCCCCCTCGCCAGGCCCTCTCTGCCTCAGGGGTCTCTCACCCCAGACTAAGATCCACAGGCTAAATCCGGGTAGCCCATCTCTTACACCTCTCTCTCCCTTGGTCCTACCCCAGAGGCCCACATGGCACCTAGACGCTTGCTCGAATGCCAAGCCTGCAAGACGCAAGGGGGGGGGGGGATGAAAAGTTTTAATGACACAGATGCCATATTAAATGAGGCAGTTTTACAATTCACTTTGAATAAGACTATTATTACAAGTGTGTTATCAGAAGGACGATAAGATTTATAACTCCAAGAGTCAGCTTTTCTCCTTAATGACAATGGATGTTAAGGAGAGGAAATCTGTTCTCTATTAGAAGAGATGAGAGTCCTTTCCCTGTTTTCGGGCATTTACAGATGCGTCCAAGAGGGCAGATACCAAGTCCCTTTGTGTCTCCTTATGAAAAATTCTCTTTCCCCTTTGGCTATGAAACCGGGTCCCCTGGCTGGGTTAGCACCTCGCTCAGTTTTTGAGCGTGAGTTTGAGAGAGGAAAAAAAAGAGAGAGAGAAAGAGAGGGGAAGGGAGATAGAAGTGGGGATGGAAATGGACGGGGTGGGGGCCGTTCTCCGCCCTCCAGTTCACGCAGTAAAACTATTTCCACGTCTTTCTTTGCCTTACAAAAGATAGCTTTCCCCTAAACCAACAGAGTAAGCAAACTTTAAAAAACTGGGGTCCTATTACAAACCAACGCCCAGCACTAACTGCTTTAAAATTACTGCATAATTAGATTTAGTTGAATTTCACCATTAATTAGGCAGCCGCACTGCAGGGAGCCTTTGAAATCTGAGAAAATGGGAAAAATCATCTGAAGCACGTTTTTTAAACCTAACTTCAATAAATCTTGACGCGGCCCAGAATTCAGAGTACCTCACTCCCCTCCCAGGCGGCTGAGGGTAAGGGTCTCCAGGCCTGGGCTGGAGTTGCAGTTGGACGTAAGGGGCGATTCCCCGGTCGGCTGAAGGCTCAGCCCGGGCCAAGTCACTGTCTCTCCAGAGGCTCTCAGAAGACCCTCTCTGGGCGGCCAGGTCTGTCCCACGGCCGACCTCGCCTCCTCTCAAACCTATTAGATAAAGGGGATCACCCGCTGTGAAGTGCTCCTGTCAGGGGCGCCGTCCACGCCGGCTCACACATTTCTAGCGCCTGCTACCGCCCGCCCGGAACCCGCCCTCGTCCCCTGCGCACCCCCAAGTCAGCCCTCCGCCCAGAAAGCCAGCTTTCCTCTAAGTTTGCCATGCAAGCAGCAAGTTGTGCCCACGTCCGGCGGGGATCGCAGCCCGGCCCCCACCCCCCAGCTCGGAGGAGGCCCCGGCACAACCCCCCGGCGCAGCCCCTGCATTAATGAGCGCGAGAACTGACCGAGGTCTGTTAATACTGGCCTCTCCCCCTCCCCCTATACCATTCAAACATTTAAGATCACGGTTGAGGATACAGACTTTTTCTCATTTGGTTCTTGTTGGGAGGGGAGGCCTGAAATAAACTCTCCGGATTTTATGGGGGAGGGGGCGAACAGAGAAGGGGATACTGTGTCACCAATATGTTCCCTAGTAATTCTGCTGCTTTAATTACAGAATAATCGAGGACCGCACTCACTCGCCAGAGAGTTTAAAAGAGGGTTTTCTGCCTGCAGATGGAATGGCCTTTAGCGGCCCCCCCCCTTTTTTTCTTTTTGGTAACCAATGTGTTTTCTATTACCCGGCCCTGCCGTGCCTGGCAGCCCGGCGCTCGCGGTGCAATGGGAGACGCCATGTTGGCTCAGCTCATAGGACCAAGTCAAAAGCGAGCTTCGAAGCAGAGTTTCACACGCTCGAGCTCCCCCTGACCGCCCCCCGCCCGTCGCCGCTTAATGCACATCCCAGGAGTGCAGCTCCGCGCGTCCGGCACCCCGGACTTTCCGGGGGCGCGGGCGGAATTCCGCCGCACGTAAGTGGGGGGCGGGGGCTGGGGGGGCAGGCACTTCTCAGCAGCTGCTGCCAACTCCAGGCTCCCGTCCCCGCAGCCGGCCGGATGCTAACCCAGCGGTCTCCGCGGAACCAGCCCCGGACGTCGCCCGCTAACTTTGAGCCCCAGTCCCTGGCGGCCCAGAGAGAACTCTTGGTGAAAGGCCGAGGCAGGACGACCGCGAGCCGAGCAAACAGGCTAGAATTCACCGTCCCCCCGCCCCAGCTTAGTCTTCCCCCAGGTTTGTTTGAAAGTGTCGAGAAGCAGCGACCGACCCTCTCCCTCTCTCTCTCTCTCTTTCTCCCTCCTCAGACTATTGTTGCATCTCGCCTCTAACTGGGTTCTCTCACTCCCCCGAGCACCAACAGGAGGAGGGGGAGCGGGGTTGGGAAAAGAAATAAAGCGAGCTCAGATCAGATGGAGGGAAAAAAAAAAAAAA